GAGCGGTTCTGTTCCAAGTAATTTTCTTCAAAAACACAACTTCATACCAAAGAGAAAAAATTTATTTTTCCTTTACATACTTTGATACAGAACAATTCAGCTGAACACACAGAAGTGATGAGACATGTATATGGAGAATTTTCCATTTTCAATATTTGGTTAAACAAAATACATCTTTGTAAACAAACTCAAGACAAGGCTTTAACAAAACCAAACAAGCAAGAAAACAAAAGTGGGCTTCCCCACTACCAAGCAGTGGGATTGGGCTGCTTCCCTTCCCACTCTGTCACCAAGGCCCTGTTCCTCAGGATGCGATCATACAGTTTCACTTTTCCTGAGCAGCTGGATCACATGATTCCCCTAAGGGTAAAACAGTGGTCTTTAGATGTAAAGAGAGGGAGGTAGCCCCAAAGTGTTTTTAAAACGTCTTTGCATATTGTGCACTGATCCATTGGCTTGCGGCTTCCATGCAATAAAGGGTCTCTTCAAAGTGCGATTTTAGTCAGCATAGAAAATTCCTTTGCTGTGGAGAATTTTTCCCTCTTCCTTCTTGGAAAATGGCTTCAAGTCATAAGCAGAACTCCTGCAGGCCTGGTGCTCTGCTCATGAAGTGTTTCAAAATTCTGCCAGCTGGTTTTGGTCATTGGAATGTGTCAAGGAGTTGGACTTATATAGAAATGCTGAATGTAAAAAGAAGCCACCGCCCATGTGTCTTCAGAAGACTGCAGCATGGTGCCTGTGGGATGTCCAAAGGTTGTTAAAACACCACTCTTGTCCTGTTGTCTCATGGCTACTGCTTTCATTTACAAAGGGCTGGCTTTGGTGGTTTGAGTTCAGCTTCACACCAGTTTATCCAGGGTGCATCTTGTTCACTTTTACAGCACCCTGCTCAAGGGCATGTACACGGGAAACAAACACTTAAAGTGAGAGGAGATGGTTGTGGCTCACAGCCCTTTTTTCAAAGACTCCAGCCTTCCCACAACCTGGAGTGGCAGACACCTAGGTTCCAGCGCTATTCTATATTTGCTGCCTGAGTGGATAGCATATGGATCAGGAAATGTGATAAACAGCATCCCAGCCACAAAGAGCCAATTGGCTTGAAATCCATCCTCGACTCGCTGTTTCCTTATTCTGCTGTAGAAGGAATGATGATTGAACTATACCCAGCACCTAGCTGAGGTGACAGGAAAAAAAAGAGTAGAAGATTCCCATTGGAGTCTCCATGTCTTAGTTCCTCCTCCCTATATAAGGGAGTGATGGACAAGGTGGTTCATCAAGAGGGGAATGTCAGTCAACAGTGAAGGAAAAATTTGGTTCAATTATCATCAAAGGACGTTCACATGGACCCTGTACACATCTCCCCCAGTGGCTGCTTGTGACTACAAAAGGCAGAGATCTTAACTTGTAAAGCCCCTTTTTGTCTTTAGATCTTAGTTTATTCATAGGCAGGTTTACTTCACACCTTTTTTTGCCTTAGCAAGCCACAGTCTGAGGGGGAAATAAAAGGGAATGACTCCCTCCCTCTTAAATACCTTCAGTTTTATTCCCCTCTTCCTCACCCTTGTAAGAAGCTTCTGCACTACCAAGTGAACGTGCAGGAACAGTTAAAATAGCATTATATGTTGCAGCAAAGAAAACCCTGTACACTTCTCAGAAAACTCTTGACTTTTCTCTCTAGACACTTGAATTCTCCGAACCAGCCTAGTCTTGCTAGCGCCTCCTTCCCTGACCCAGCCAGCTTCACACCAAACAAGCACTAGGCCATGTGAAACATCATAGTTTCATAGTAGCTAGGGTCAGGAGGGACCTAAACAGATCATCTAGCCTGACCCCCTGCCACAGGCAGGAATGAATGCTGGGTTCACAAGACCCCAGACAGGTCATCATCCAACCTCCTCTTGAATTTGCTCAAGGTAGGGGCAAGAACCAACTTCCCAGGGAAATGGTCTCAGATTTTGGCCACCCTAACTAAAATATTGCCTGCTGATCTCTAACCTAAACCTGTTCTCCATCAGCTTATTACCATCATTCCTTGTCACCCCAGGTGGTGCTGGGGAGAAAAGGGCTCTACCTGTTTGCTGTTGATCTCCCCTGATGAGTTTGTAGGCAGCCACCAGGTCCCCCCCTCAACCTCCTCTTGCTGAGGCTGAACAGGTTCAGGTCCTTCAGTCTCGCCTCATAGGGCCTGTCCTGCTGCTCTCTCACCCAGTGGGTGGCCCTCCTCTGAACCCTCTCCAGGCTGGCCACATCCCTTTGGAAGTGTGGCGCCCAGTACTGGACGCAGTATTCCAGCTGTGGCATGACCAAAGTCGCATAGAGGGGGAGTATTACCTCTCTGGACTGGTTTGAGATGCACCTCCTAAGTGACATTAGAGAAAAATCCCCTACCTAACCAACAAGTTTCCATAAAGATGGCCCTCACCTTCTGTAGCTGAGTTGGCACAAGTACTGCTAAGCAGCAGGGGATTCTCCAGAGCACTGTATCACTGCTAGTGTTGGAGAGTTTCCTGAGAGACCCTTATATGTAATTCCAAATGTCTACAAAACTGTTATGGAGGGAGATACTGTTGTAGAGTGGAGGCAGAGTGCTTGGCCTCTTCTCCCCCTGAAGCCACCTTCCAGCCAGAGCAGCTTTGGTAAGTTCTGAAGGGAGTAGTGTCCAAGCACATGCAGTCTTTAAGGTGAGCTGGAGGGTAAAATAGAACAGTGGGGGGGTCCACAACACCTTAACCCCAAAGCCTGTTTTATGAAGCACTATGCATACCAATTAGCTGGAAAGCACAGAACTTGCTTTCCTCACTTCTCCATTAAGAAGTGACTAGCTTCCAACCCCCTCCACTCTGCCCCCACCCCTTATGTCACTGCCCTATTGCACCAAAAGAGAAAGAAAAAAGCCCAACAAAAGGAAGTTCCAGAGAAGAACTGGGGCACTCATTATCCAGGTTACAGGACCTCAGGGCAGTGAGGGAAGGGACTGGAGCTGTAATGGGAGAGGGCACATCAAAGTCACATGTCAACTCTCCAGCTCTGATGTGCTTCCACCTCTTCTGGTACCACCAGGAGAAGTTCACAGTTCTTTCCTCTCAGCTGGTGTTTCAAAAATTTCCTGTGGGAAGGAGAGGAAAAATGTAAGGGCAAAAATGGGGAGAAACTTTCAAAATAATCTGTCTAAGTAGCAATGGCTCCGCAGGGACAAGATACCCAGGAAGAAAATGGGGAGAGACTAATTTCACCATTATATTTTTGACAGTAACTGCAGATTAGAAGTTCCCAAACCAAATTAAATCACTAGCACCTATTTCAAAACTATACAGGTACAATCTTAAACTCACTAGTATAGTTACACAAATGACTCTTACCAGCCATCCAAAGTCATTTTAGTTTTTTAACTCGGCAAGAGACAGCGCAACTGAAACAGATTTGATTTCTTTATGTTTTAGAGACCAATGGTCTGGGGTGTCTTAAGAAAAAACAGAATGCCAGGAATGGATGGGTTCATGCCAAACAGAGTGGTGCAGAATTTGCTGGCAGCTTATGAACTGAGATCTGATACAGTTTTTCAGCCACTCTTTCTGGAAGATTTCTCTTGGCAGGAAATTAGGGAGTGACCTTCAAATAATATGAAAATAAAAATCTTTCATTTCTCTAGTACCTTTCAACCTATTCCCAGAAATAAACCATAAATGTATGGTTTACATGCAGGAACCAAAATGCATTGATGAAAAGTGATGTCCCAAGATAAAACCCAGCACCCATCCTGGAAAAGCAATGGTCATAAGAATGAAGAATTGCTTTTCCACTGAAAGTTACACACAGGGAGCTTTAGGCTAAAAAGATGTCATTCAATTCACTAATATTTCAGCAGCATGATGAGCTCCAGATACACTGCCCACAACTGTAATCTGTTTGTCTGGGACATCAAGATAATCATCAATGTTTTGAATGGCGAAAGGTGCAGAAGACTGTGAATGCTAGGAATGACAAGAACAGCAGTTTTACTACCCTGTGAAAGACAAGGAAGACAAAATGGAACTCTAAGATTCAACTTGGGAAAGGCTTCCCACCACTGTAGAATCTGCCTGCTAAAAAGAAAGACTTTTGCTGCACGCGCACAATAGTTTTGCCTGTCAAAGGAACCCTGTCATACCCTTTCCATTTGATGCTGTATGATGGGTTTGACTGCAGGTCTCACCAGGTATGAGACTACAGGCTTCTACGTTCATAACTGGTGATTACCTTAGGAATGAAGCTCAAGCTCTCAGACTCCTAAGCTATTTTCCTAGCCTCACATAAATGGATTTCATGGGGTAAGATCCAGGAAGGGAAGAATGAATTTTACTCTCCTTCTTCAGCCACTGCTATCAGAATTAACACGTATCCATAGGGACGGCAAAACATGAACTAAGTTATATAGGACACCTAATGCTTCATGACAGATGTTCCATCTGTAGGAGGGGCTGGGGGTGAGGATTAGGATAGAGATGTACCCACCTGAGCTCACTTTCACCTCCAATCCACTCAGGCACCTTGAGTTTGGAGTCGAGATTGTAGTAGGTGCCTCCTACCTCCCGGACACAGATCCAATGCTGTCGTTTTAGGGGGAGTTTCAAGGGACCCCAGCAGAGGCTGGAGGGCAGATTCATGATAAAGCCCATCACATTAGAGAGAGCAATGACATTAACGTCCCTGAGCAAGGAGAGAGAGCAAAGATGGTGATCATGTTTTGCTTAGTCACTTCACTTGCTTCCTTTCTTTTAAATCCCAACAGGAAGCAGTCATCTCCTGTACCACAGAAATGAAATGCTTCCCCAGATACTTCATCCCAGTTCTTGTACCTGCGCTTGTCCCACCAAACTGCTTCATAGCCTTTGGTCTGAAGCGCAGCCATGATGACATTCACATCATAGTTCCCATTTCCCAGCATGCTCTTCTTGTGTGGTGTCACCATAGTGTTGGGAGACAATCTGCAAACACAAAGCAAAAAACTGTTGTTGCAGGTGTTCATTATGCCAGTATTCCAGCCACATTCAATACAAGTATCTGTAGCCCTGTGGGAGTGGCTACAGTTGCTGTATCCATACCCTGGCAGTTTGATTTTTAAGCTCAGTTCAACGCTGAAAGGTGCCTATCTAAGAGGACCCCTCAATACCCTCCCATTCATTATCCGTTTGAAATTCCAATCAGTTGGCTGAGAGAGACATCTTTGATTGGAACTATTCTTTTAGTTCCCTCAGACAGCGAAAATAACAGGGTATTGGTTCTGCCCTGACTCACATGGCTAAACACTGCATTAATAATATTTTAGATAGGAAACTTCCAAGAGGTGCTAAGGTATTACACTGGATCTGACCCCACTAAACTCATGAGAACAGAGGAAATCACAGTATCTAGCGTGATGTAGATGCAGGTCAGGTTTTGTTTAGCAAAGAGTGGCTTTCCATTTAATTCTCATCATTGTTTTAGTAAGTTCCAAAATGCTTAAAGAAAAGTATGTAATAGTCAAAAGTTATTATAATAGCCAAGTCTGCAGTCTGGTAGATCACTGTCATTAAAACATCCGCTCAGAAGCATGCCTAGATGCTATGTACTGGTGCAATCATTGCACTATGCTGTGTCCAAAGACAGATCTCTGCACCACAGCTTACAATCTCAGATTGCAAAGCAAATAAGTGAAGGAAAGGATGAGTCAAAGAAGCAAAACAGTTAGAGCGATGGTTGAGAAATATTCAGGCTTTTTTGCAATGGAGGGAAAGCAGGAAAGAAGGAACAGAGACATTCAAGGAAGAAGATAAAGCCATGAGAGGCAAGTTGAGCTGCAGCATAACCATGAGATAAAGAGTTGGGAGGAAATTGGAGCAAAATAGCAAAATCAGTAGAGGCCAAACTGAAGAAAAGAGTCAAGTTTGATGACACACCTCTAGCAACCAAAGGTCACTGCTACTATTGTCACTCTACCTATCTCCCAGATTACTCAGCGAGTGCCTGCACCTCTCCCACAGTGTTGAGAAACAGAGATACCCCAGTCCATCACACTACTTTGAAGGCTGCTGAACAGCTGCATGGGGTAAGTTGTGCTTGCAAAAGAAGCCTAGTGAAAATGTACGGACCTAATGCAGGGGTGGCCAACTTGAGCCATGGGTAGCCTGTGTATGTGGTGCACAGCCTGCCCCCTCCCCAGCCAGCTATTATGAGTAGTCTTTGAAATTGAACTCGTTGAACTTGTGTGAAGTGGCAGATAGAGAAGAAAGAAAGCAGAGGAACAGATCAGCTAGGAAGCACAGGGCTGATAAAAAAAATAAAGAACAGCATATTGAGCAAGGGAAGCAGACTGGAGTGGCACTTAGGGAGGGCATGGGGCTACCTTGCGGCATCCCTGCCAAAAAGGCCTCCACTGACCTAGTGCAGTCCATCTCTGGCAAAGTGAAAGAGACCTGACAAAAGGAGAGGAAAGGAGAGGCATCTCTTCAAGTAACTGGGTCCCATCAACTGTTGAGCACAACTTCCAAGGGGGAAGTTGTGCCCAACATTTTGCACCTGGTTACATTTCTGGGTGGTCAAAGCAGTTGCAGCAGAGTGCACTGGAACAATCCAGCCTGATAGTTATCTTTCTATAGAAAGGGAAACAGACATTTGAAACAGGGCAATAATGGGAGAGGCTGTTAGTATCCACTGGTGTGGCTTTTGAGAAAGAATCAAACTGCAATTGAGCCTGGTCAGTATCCCACTGTCCCAAAGGAGGTGGTACCATTCACGGGAAGAAACAGGCCCCAAACTAGTCACAAAAAGGTCCACATCATAGATAGCTGCCCACAACTTCCTTAGATGTGCTGGAAGGTTACTCACCACTAACTAATTCTTCAGGGATGCTGTCTCTGCATATTGACATGTATGGGGTACTCACACTGGCACTGCTCAACTACAAAAGTCTTTTACATAAACAATACCCACTGTGGCTGCACAAGCCATTTAGAGACAAGTTCCATAAAGAGCTGTAAGGCTGTAACCATGCTGGCTCTTCCCAGTAAACCTTAGAGTCCTAGAGCAATAGAAATCAAAGGAAAAAGGGAGGGCAAGCATAAATGTACATGCACAAAGATCTGTACATTTCCTTTTTAAGAATTCCCTCTATATATTCCTACCTGTGTTAGCCTCAATGAATGGTACAACCCCTAGGAAAGTGAACTGAGGAGGTCTAATCACCCAAGGAATGCAGAGTGGTCCTTCCCAAGTGAGTACCAGGGCTACCTACTAAGCTGAGAAAGTAGGGTCCTGTAAACATATGCAAAGAATTCCTGATAACACTTCTACAGTGGAAGCATTCTGGTATTATGTCACTGATATGCAAAAGACTTTAATGAAGGAAGTCCTGAAGACCCTGAAGTCCTGACTAATCAGGATGCCACACAGAGGCCAGACCACTGTGATGTGGGGAAGATGCAGCCAAAAGCATCGCTGAACATGCAATCTAACTTTCTGTGGAAAGATACAAAGTCTGGGGAAGAATCCCAGGACATGGGAGGTCTAATACAGGCAGAAGCTTAGGCTCACTAACCATCACCAAAACCATTTGTGATAGAAATATTTTGACATGCGTTTTCTGTACTTGTTTGGTCCAAATCAATCACCATGAACGCTTCATAGCAAAGTGATTCTGAATCAGGATCCATGACAAGTTCATCCATCTTGATGAAGAGATCAGAAAATGTCAACAGATCTCTTGTAGAAGTCTCATACTAATCTACCAATAGGCTCTTGCCCATACCAAATCAAGCATGTTGACCGAGTCATCATTACTTATGACTGGTAATCAGAAAGGACTGTTTTGCTTCAGTTTAACAGAAATCCTTCTATGACTGAGTTTTTGTCCGCTATTACTCTGTTATCCATTAGTGCTTAGGAGCTATAGAAATCTTGATCAATGACAGAAAAGATACTATAGCTGGCCTGGGAACACAAAGTTCCAGAACATTTACATGCAGTCTGGCTTCCCACTTTTGGCAAAGACATAGATAGCCATGTCAAATTCTGGTAACAGCCTAAGTGAGAAGCATCTGTGATGACTACAATGGCTAGTATCTGTTGCCTTGGCTCCATCAGTGAAGGGTCTTAAGGAATATTCACAAAAGTAAATCCACAAAAATGTGGAAACAGCACAAAACTATTTTGGTTCCATAGCACAACAGCAGCTAACTGGAGTATTCATTTTCATTTCATTCAGTAAAAAAACCCTTTAAAAAAAAAAACAAAAAAAAAACAGCTGAAGCTGCTGCAGAATTTTCATCAGTGTTACAGGGGACACAGATCTAGCTGCTTAACTGAGGTCCAGCTTGCCAGAGTACACAAAGCCTTCTTGTGTGAAAATTACAGAGGCAGTACTTGAAGATTTTCATTCACAAATCTGGGTGAACACAGAAGGTCAAACCTTTGATCAGACAACAGCCTGGGAAAGACACAGGCTCTAAACTGCAGCTATTGAGGTTTTTGGACCACATTACACCAAAAAAATCTATTTCCTCTCCTCTCCCAGGCCAATCACATGACCCGAGTTGTTTAGACTAACTTGATAGGAATAATACACTTTCTATGGGAGAAAGATAAGAGGCAGAATTTGGGAGACAAGCAGACACACTGAAAGGCAGGTAGGAGGGAAGAGACACGGTGCTGACCTATCACATAGGGATGTCCATAATCAAGCCCTCACATCCCAAATTGGCAGCCAGAACAGTTGGATAGACTGGAAAGGGGGAAGAGAAGGTAAAGACTTTTGCATCACTGATACAGAAGTCTTAGTGACACAAGAGAAAAGCAGGCATGTCCTCAGCACTGTTGGATTCCAGACAAAACCCTTCTCTTCCCTGCTACCTCACCAAGGATGGGAGGGTAAAAAAGAGCAAAGGTGAAGCAATGCTACCAAACAGTGCTCCCTACCTCTGGAAAATCTCCTGCAGTGTTTCCCGTGTGAAGGCATTGTTGTCCTGGAAGACATTATTGAGGGCATGGAGAGCACACAGCTCTCTGCGCTGCTTCTCATGGTATATACGCAGTGGGGCCAGCGGGGGTGGCTCTGGTGATTCTGATTTGGTTTTGTCACCTTTCCATGGCACACAACTCATTTTCTCATAGGGCAGTTGAGGAGGAAGGTGGTAAGGAATAAAGAGACTTGAAGTTTCTACCCCTGCAACCAAAACAGCAGCCCACCGTCCTCCTCTTTTGCACACTATTCCAGTTTCCAGCTGGCAACTCCCCCTGCAACTCTCGGCTTCGGTTTATTCAGCAATCGTCTCCAACAGCCGGGTGCAAAAATCAAGTGAAGATCTGGAATGTTTTCCCCCTTTCTTCCCCTGCTCCCCATAAAATGCCCGCTGGGGGTGCTCCCCTCCCCCCTCAAAAAAAGTATCAAAAGCTTTGAATCTCCTTGGTGTCAGAGCAGCTGGAGTTTGCCACACCGCTCCTTCTCTTCCATCTTCGCCAGTGCGGGGTGTCCCTGAGAAAGGATCGGGGGCAGGCCGGGAAGCGGGGCCCTGGTTCACAAGGCACGGCCAAAGCTGGATGCGCTGTCTCAGATGCCGCCAGCAGAGGGGAGGGGAAGGGAAGCCTCAGGGCTGTATTACAGTGTCAGCATCCTGATGAGGGGGGCGACTGATGCCAGGGAGGCAGAAGGCAGCTTGGCGCTGCGGGGAAAGCTGTGCCCTTGCACTGCCCTGCACAGAGACGGGGGAGAAGTCCTGTTAGTTCCAAAGTGAGACCCGACCCAAGGCTGAGGGGTGGGGTGGGGGGGGGGGGCACTAGCCCCCCCCCTTCCCCTGTAACAGGCCCACCCCAAGACCT